TAATTAAGTAGAAATAAATTTTCTTGTACTTGACATATTGATTTACTTTGTTGCATTATGTTACATTACCCACTAATATTAGGTAATCATTGCCAGTTTTGTTTTAATACATGTTACCAAATAAATCGAACCAATAGTCTATACATTTATTTAAACAGTTTATTTTTCGTTTTAAACAGTTTAACAAAGAAGTAAATACCCTATTGTATTAAATTGCCCAATGTTTCATGGGCCAGCGAGAAATTTGACAGTCCAACTGGCATCCATCCATCCATCCATCCATCCATCCATCCATCCATCCATCCATCCATCCATCCATCCATCCATCCTTCTGTCACGCTTAATCCCAGCTGGAAACAGGACAAACAACTATTCACAAACACACTCACACCTAAGGAGAAATTAGAGAAGCCGATTAACCTAACATTCCTGTTTTTGGACTGTGAGAGGAAGCCAGAGCACCTGGAGAGAACCCTCGCATGCACAGGGAGAACATGCAAACTCCGTGCGGAAAGACCCCGGGCCTGGAATTGAACCCGGAACCTTCTTGCTGCAAGGCGTGTGCTACCAACTGCAACATTGAGCAGGCCTCTAACTGGAATAATTCTTTTCAAATATGCAATAAAAAATTTACAACCCTCTGAAACATTCGTTACAGAATTATACTCATATGTAAGATCAAGAATATTTAACTATTTAAATGAAAAAAAGCATGTACAAACATAGCATTAATAGTAAATGTGCATTATGTTGTACTGCATTAGAATTTGTACCAAAAAAATATATTGTTGGTATGACTTGTAAACAACAACAAAAAACAGCAAATACACAGTGTTTCATATACACAAAATCCAACACAGATCTGGTAATATAGCCACTACTCAAATATGCAATAAAAATCTTACAAACCTACACACTAAAATAGTGCAATTTCAACATTTAATGAAACAAAATCAACACACTAAAAAATTAACAGATTAAACTGTCTAACCATTCTCAGTGAAGAATAACATCTCTAATAGATATTTGAATAAAGGTATCTGTTATTTTTCGCGAAATAACATATAGCCTACCTTATTTGACAAAATAAGGTAACATTAACGAACATTAATGAACATTAAAAACACATTAATGGCAGGCAACCTTCCACTAAGATTAACTGGAAACCACTGCTAAATCTTGGCATTTGATGCCACATTTTCCTACCCTGAGATGTCAAAGTTATAAATGCATTTAGGAAAGCAGCTTCAACTTCAGGGTGTTTAAGGGGACAGTTTAAATCCATCCAACTCCAGGAAAAGTTTTTACTTCTAAAGACTTCTAAAGTGTAGCGCAAGGTGGGAAGGTATGCCAAGTTCAGGGTTATGACGAATACTCTAATAGAGTTTACTGCACCAAAAAGTCACTTTTTTCAGTGTACCAACTACAAATGTCAAAGTATTTTACAAGGATCCTATTTAACTGAAAAATAAAAACTTAAGAAAAGTCAGAGCTAAAGTTGTTGAGAGGTATAAATCAAACCAAAGCAAGATTAACCTCTAAAAAACATTCGGCAAAACCTTGAAACTTCATACCCAACAAAGTCCAATTCTTTTTATATCAAATTAAGGCCAAAAAAGCACAACTGAACTTAAAAGAGAAGCAGCCAGAAGTCCCATGGCAGCTCAGCGACAACTATTGAAATGTGCAGCACTTGACAAATCTTAGCTTGATGAACCAACTTTAAGGATGAGGCCATCGTTGAAAGAAAGCCAATAGTAGCCTAATTTATAGTTTGCCAACCCTGACCACACCTACCGTATGCTGAAAGACCGTGATGGTGTGTGTACTGGTTTATGTTACCTAATCAGGACTGTTTTTTTTTTTTTATATATTTAATGACCCTTTAAAACCAACAGAAAACCAAAGGCTGGTCTAATGTGTTGGATCACAATTTTTATTGCCAGGTAGTCAGTTTAGAGCAATGGTGTGAATTCACTTTAGATTAAGTTAACAGTTAGAAAAATACTGGTAATGATTAGGGTTAGAGTAAGTGTCAGGATTAGGCATAGATACAATAACTAAATTTAATGTTAGTCAATGGACAGTCTTCAGACCGCTAAGTGACAAAGCAAGAGCTTCTGGTGAGCTAGATACAATCTTAAATAAAACTTGCTGGAAACAGCAAGACTTAAGAGATTTGGAAACATGTTCTCCTTCCCATAGGGTAATGGTAACACACATTTAGAAGTGCAAAATAATGGATTAGATCATAAGATTTTCATGTATTGTGCTGCTTCATGCAAGACTTGAAAGAGGATGCCCACAGGTGATTTCCATTCGTTCTGAATCGGGCTATTTAACAAAGAGAGCCAAGATTTCAGTCTCCAGACGGACAAAGCTTGTAATGACCTGTACTCTATAAGGCTTTTTCCATTACTGCATTGAAAGTTATTAATCCCAATTACAGATTAAATTTTATTGCAAACAATGAATGGCAAAAAACAAATATATGGTACACATTTCATATTTGTAAAACCTTTTTAAAGAGGTGTACCATTTCCCTTCACTTCCCAGTAACAGACTCCTTCGTGGTAATCAGTTATACATTTCTAACAGAATACTTTAAAACTTTCTGTTTTAATGTGACAGAAATTAAAGGGTTCGAGGAGCATGAACTTGTTCTACCTGATCACTGGTTTGGATATCTGTTACCTTCAAAGAAAATATAAGCAATAATTCTTGGATGTATTAAGGAGTAATTCGACGGGGGTATTTCGTGTTGTATTTCCGTCAAATCTAATTAAACTAGACTGGGCCCATTCAAGCTGCAAATTTCCTACACCGTCCTGCAATTATCAGCACTTTCAGAGGTCAGGACAGATGTACTTGAACTGTTCAGCCTGTTGTAGCTTCTGACATCATGATTTAATCCCCTCACCTTGGTCAGGGCCAATGTCTCTCCTCTTTTGGGCTTCAATGGAGTTGGCCTGTCTGCACAGCTAATCCTAATCTATCTGGCATCAAACTGCATATTATTGCACAGGTAAACACTGCACCATATGGTTGGATAAACTTAATGACTGGCAGCCCACCCTAAAGCTGTGACTTCTAGGGACATCTAAACAAAACAACCTATTATTTAAATTCAAGTTAGTGTCCGGATACAAACAGGCGAGAAATGCTTGCATAGAAAATAGTAATGATACAAACAGAGGTCTTTCATGTAAGATTCACAAAATTGCTTCCAGTTTTGTTTGACATCAACAATAACAAATGGACGCCATGTCTGGTGACTCAGTAACTGTTGTTCCCAGTACCACAGGTATTAAGGTTTACCTCCCACAAGCTCATTATTACTGGCTGTTGTACGGCGATTAGAGAGTGAGTCCAGATGACCACAAATGCTAGGTTGGGACAGACCACCTAGTCAGAGCATTTCATTAAACATCACAACAAGCATAACTGGCCATGATAGAGCCACCCAGTGAGCATTGACACAATATATTTGTGATTAGACATTTAAAAAGGGATTAGGATTAGCCTCAAGAGAGCCTCTGTGCTTTGTGGGGTAGGTCTAAGACAATACGTTGGACAGCTGGGGTAAACGTGAAGAACAAGGAAATGCCTGTTTCTCCATCACATGTGCAGGATATAGGTCAGTACCATTTCAGACAGTAGCCACTAGGCTAGCTCATTACAAATATTGCAAGAATTACCCTAAATTATCTTTATCTAGTAACATAGTCCTCTTTCTGGGCAAATACTCACAGATATAATAACATCATTAAAGCAACTAATAATTCTAGCTGAACTGCACAAAACTAAGTTAATACAGTGATTGTTAATTTTCATTCAAACTGCTTTTCTTTCAAATGACTAAGAAACATCTGTATCCTACAATGTTTTTATGGTCATATAATAAAATGTTATTCAATGTTGTTATCACAAGTCTACTTAAAAAATAGCACTAGTGCACTATTTTTTTAGATTACTTGTGCATACCCTTAATTGATCTCAGTATAAGTTTATGTAATTAGGGTAATTGTGAAAACTACTGCATCATTATGTAAATTCATATGTAACCATTTTTGGTTGAATAAAAAATACTGAATATAAATCAAGTGCATTTTGTTCTTTAATGAATTTGCCCATACAGAGTTATTATCCTGCCATAACAGTAATTATCTAAATGTTTTGTGACTTGTAATTAAATTGACTAATAGAAAGCAATTGTGAGCAACAAAAATCTGATATTTTTTAATAAAAAGAATCCAATGCAAATGTATGTGTTTTTTTTAATTAAAATGTTCAATTGATTAACAATAAATCAAACATGCAATTTTTTATAAAATGCAGGTGTTAGTTTACTTTATTGAAAAGGGATCTGCAAATTATTAATGAGTTTAGAACATAGAGTTAGACAACATGTATTATCCTTTTGTATACATAGAGTACTACTGTCGTTTTGTACAGCTTTTATGACATTTCCATTCATTAAAGTGCAGCAGGGATCAAATGTAAACAGTCTGGGACAAAAAAAAAACATTATATTTTCTGTTTCTTGTTGTCTTTGCTTGTTGTTATTTTTATTGTCTTGGTCCAGAAAATTTTCTCTTTTATAACATCAAAAAATTCTCACTATTCTTTGGAAGTGCCTGCTGTATTTAGACAAGTTTAATGAATGGTCTTTCACTGAGTAAAATTCTCTGCATGTCAGTGATCCTATTTACTTTGAACTAAAAGTGAACAAACATGGTTTTGAAAAGAAAACTACTTTTTTGTACCTTTGAATTTAAGAAGATTTTTAATTTTCATAAAATGCTTTGCATCAACATTGTTATTTAAATGTGAACTTGTGCACTAATCACCTTTGCAAGCAGGCAAAGATTTGGATGTGCAAAACCATTCCAAGGCCTCAAATGCCTCCTACTGTAGGGCACACTTTGAACACCACTGCTCAAAGCAATAAACTGTTCAGTCTTCAGAAGGTCTCATCATATTTTCTGTTTCTTCCACAGCAAAGAGAACCCCCATCAAGCCATAAAAGTCACATCACGTAAGTAACAAATCCACTCTGACACAAGGCCTCATTCAGTCTAACCTGCCATGGTTCTTTTGATACTGATGAGTTGCACAGATCTGACAAAGGCATTTGCTTTTTGACTCCCGAGCCACCTCTGCTGCTTTGTTATTTAGTCAGGTTTTCAAGAGGGGCCTGTATGTGACTCAAACACCTCAGTGAAATATAAGGCAATTTATAGCTATATGAACACCTTATGACACAAAGGCATGGAGAATCAGTTTTTAATTTGTTTTAAATTACTATGAGGGAAGATGTATCTGGGACAAAATGAACTGTGTTTGTAAACACTGAACTTATTTTGAAATAGGCTGCTGATGAGTCAGTGCGATGACGCAAGCCACTCGAAATAGATACGAACACTAGCAGTGAGGTGGATGCAGGTTTCTTTGTTCTTTGTGTGTGTGCACGTGTGCACTGCGTATATGACATAATCACAACTTTTATGTTTATGCTGCAATCTGCAATAAAGCACTGCAAATCACCTGCGCCATGATCTAAATGTTAGTGACACTTTTGTTTGTGTGCATTTTTCTAGGTAAAGATGGAGAGTATGGCTTGGAAAGTGAAGAGGTGATTTTGACACCCGAAGATGAAAATCCACTACGGAGAATACTGCAGGTAGTGTTCAGCTTTCACTTACCCCCCACCCACCCCCCGTCTCTGGTTCATACAAATGCACACACACTGAAATACACAAGCAAAACTGAGCATGCTCGCTCAGCCACACTGCATGACCTTGGGTGAAGGAATAATGTTTGTCTCATATTCACCAGAGGTAAAACATCTTTGCCGCCCACACACAGTACCGCTGTGACCAAAAATTCAATAGCATTCCACAGTATACTTCATTATCTTGTGCAAACAGGCAATTATACATGTTTTCTAGAGATTGGGTGAGTCCAGTGTCTGCTTTTTCAAACTCTTCTCTTGTTTTCTTGTAATCTCAGTCAAAAAAATCCAGCTGTACCCAAAAATTTTTACTGAAAATTTAATGTAGCTCAACCAGCACACTACAATGAGATGTACTCTCTGAGTATACAGGTTTAAAATAGTTGCAGCCAACAGTCTGTGTAAGTAGACTAAACTAAGTGCTTTCTCTGCAACAGCACACCCTTTTATGCATATTCCTGCTTCCCTCATGCTGCCCTTTCCTCATTTGGGATTCAAGGGGAGTCTGAATCGCATAATAATTTACACATAGCTGACATTTTATGGTCATACAAGTTGGAAAGCCTTTAAAATTGCCTTTTTAAATTAAATATCACAGCATGAATAAAACGAAGGCACTCCAGACAGCACAACTGGGCAGGCAGGCTTTGGTGTAAGAGTAAAATAGATCAGGGATTGTATTTTAAAAACATATCACAGAGATGTGTAATGTAGAGTACCCTGATGGCGTCATGTCTGAGTTTACTATTTTAGTAGACTTTATAACGTTTACAAAGTTTGCTATGAATTGTGTTTCTTATGTTTTTTTTGTGTTGATGTAATTTAAGTAATTTTTATTTTAAAGAAGCAAATTCATCTGATATTGAATATCTATATTATATAGAACTCTATATTATATAGAAATCTATATTACATAGAAATCTTAAGAGGAACATACAGTTGATTGCAACATTGCACAATTTCACATCGTTTTATATTTTCTCACAAATGTGTTGCTGGTATTTTTATTTTTTTCTAGACTAACAAATTATACTGCATAGTGAAAAATTAGACCAGCTTTTACCCAGATTGAATAATTTGGAGAACTACCAATTTATTTTCATTTACAGATGCAAGTCTTTTAGGGTCATCTCCAGCAGCTTTCCACATCTATGTCTACACACATCTTTTAGCCATTTTCTTTTTGCTCAAACTCATTTAAACTGATTTAAGAGCAATCTTAAAACAGAATCCTGATGCTGTATTCTGTCTAGTACATTAACACAAAATGTTTGGATTTAAAGCATTCAGTTTTTGTTTTTTTTTGCAATTTTTCTATCCTCTTAGATAATGGATTCCACAGTGCTCTATAAAATGTATTAAATAAATGTTTGTATTTATTTACTATGTTGGTAACAATACATATTCTTTACTTTATGACTTAGACTTAGACTTAGACACATTGTTTACATTTGATCACTGCTGTCTTTAAGAAATGGAAATGTCATGAGAGCTGTACAAAATGGAATTTTGTTCGGCACACACTGTGTGTACAAAATGAAAATAGAAGTTGTCTAAGTCTAAGTCATGATTATGCACTATTCATAGTTGGTCCATTGCATTAAACTCCTGTAAAATGCAGGGCCCTTGCGATTGTAACATCATGAAATATTCAAAAGTGCAAGGGGTTGCAACAATGGTTTGTATATACAGTTTGAAATAAACTGTATATACTATGTATTATCCATAAAAAAATAAAAGAATATTAGGGTGTCCTCTTTAGGACAGTAAAATAATGCCACAGTTGTTGATATACTGGTTGTGGGTTTTATTGAAGTGGGTTAATACCATGTGTCTATATCTTTACAGCCTTTTAAATGGCATCAGCCTGGGATGTCTCTCAGTAAAAGGAAGCTGCTGCAGTCTCTGATGGGGCCTTATGGTCCCCTCAGCGTGTCCTACAATGGGAAGCCTTGCATTCTATTTAAGGCAAAACGCCTGGCGATCCGCTACAGAAACCACACATTCATCGATCTGACTGAGAAAGTCTTCAACCCCAGCTTACCTGTGGACACTAAGGGCTCAATCTGCACAAAGGATAAGGCTATGTAAGTTCCAAAGTATTGACCCTTGAAAAGAATTTCCTTTGGAGCAAGTATAGAAAACAAGGTGGATATTTGATGTAACAACAGTTCAAGCATCCACATTACAGAAACTTCCTTAAATATATACTTTAGATCAATTGAGTAAAATATTTTCATGTTGGTCTGTTCTGCCACAGACTTTCCCTGAGATTTGGTGATGTTGAGGACTTACGAGGTCTAGTTATCAGGTAATGTGGCAATACCTAATTTAAACAATTTAAGTTTTAGGGTTACAACTAACTGCATTGACCTAACTGTCTCTTTCACAAGGCTCCAAATGTCCAACACTTTCTATGAGGCTGCTGGGCAAAATTGGTTCACACTAGACAGCGTTCACATCCAGTACAACTGGACCCAAGAGGCTACATTCAACGCCAGTGAGGTCTACGCTCCTGCCACTTCATCCTACCATTGCCAGCACGTCAGCAGCCTGCACAAATATGACACCCTGCTTGTGCCCAGCTCCCACACTGACACATCCGCTAACTGGCACATAACTTTCACTGATTTCCAGGTACACTGTCACACAAGGAGCACAACCCTTTGGTAGCTTAAATCCTCTAATGGAATCTGCATGTCCAGTTTTTTTTAAGGTTTTAGTCTATTTTTTTCATGAATGCATGTGTCTGTATTTTAGCCAGCTAGTTCCTTTGAATGTTTAGTATGTTGGCAGTCTCTCAGTTTGATGTCCTTTTGGCAGTTTGTCGGTCTGTCTTATCTCTTCAGCCATCTGCTCAATTGTCTTAACTTGCCCATCTGTCTAATATGTCTGTGCTTGGCAAGCCCAATAGCAGACAAGTTGACCTATTTGCTTTAGCTTAATCTTATCTTTCCACCTTCCTCTTTGTTCTTCCAGATCCAGGCATTCAATGTACAGTCGGAGAAGTTTGCGTCAGCCAGTGACTGTGCCACATTTTTGACACCAGCCATTCTTATGGGCCTAGTTACATCATTAATCCTCCTCCTAGTGTTAGCCTATGCCCTGCACATGGTGGTACACCTCAAACACATTGACCGCTATGAGGAGCACAAAGCCACTGTCTACTTCCCCCGCAGTCCCGAGGCAGAATTACCAGACAAAAACAGCCTGTGAAGGAGAACGAGGAGAAAGAGGATGACAGAGTGGCAAGATGAGGAAAGAGGAAGTTGAGAATCAAGGCTGCAAAAGGGAAAAAGTATCTTCAACTGAATATTTCATCAACTAAATGACAACTTTGCCTGTTCTTGTCAAAACATAAGTCTTAACTCTTTTAAGTAAAAGCAAAGTGTGGCTGGATACTTCCTCTTCTCTCCTCATTGACAGGCATCTTGTGGGGAACTCCAAGCCTCTCCTAGAGATGGCTTATTGGCTGTAAATCCAAAGTCCAGCATCTGTCCCAGTGTGCTGAAGAGTAATGACTCGCACAGGTCTTTGTCCCAGCTGGCCCTTAAAACAAGCTCACACTCCCAGCCAATACAGCTAACTCAGATGCTCCAGCTTAAGTGTATGTATCACATGGCTCCCAAGTGTCATATTGCAAGCAACCATCGCCAACATTGTCCTTTCAGCTTTCATTGCTGTATACTTTGTCTAACACTGCTGCAAAAATGGTAAACTTATAACAGCCAATTTTATAGCTGAGATAGCCTTATTAGCTGCATGTCCAAATAGGCTGGTGTTCACGGGCTAGCACAGTGTTTCCTGATAACAAGAAAGCAGGTGGGCACCTACTTCAGTTCTGGGTTAAAATAATAAGATATGGCACAATTGAAAATGGTAATGGAGAGACTTTTGGTGAAATAAGAATGAAAATATTAGGAACTACTGGCCTAACATCTGGCTCGGGTGGATGGACCAACCCTAGTGGCTCGTCAGAACCTCCGGCCCCTCACCCGACTGAACAAGACTGTTGCTTGGAACATAATGGTGAAATGGCCTTCTACAGACCAGGCAGAACAAGGGGGATTCAATAAACTAGCACAACATTTGTTAGTAGCGGAAGCACTAACAGCAGACTATAAAAAGACTATACAAAGAAATATGCTGCAAAAAAAAAATGGTCCTTCTGATGGCTTTGCAGTAATGCAGGTTTTGGAATGCAACAGCTCATTCGATGAAGTTGTTTCAACAAAGGAGGCTGTGGGACCTTAACTGAGACTGCTCAAACTGACTGCCAAAGTGAAGCCACACATGAGTTGCCATAACATATGGTCTGACACAGAGTGAGATGATGTGAAAATGAAAGGGAACCATTACAGCTATGTAAAAAAAAAAATGCATCCATGTACAGATGTGTCACTCTGCGGAGATCATTTTTTTATATTTATTGTAATCACAACAACTATTAGGTACAGGTTGACTATGCTAAAACTCATAACCAAAATGATATCCGGAGCTGTAAATATAAGATCTCTCTAAGGTCATAGCTGTTTACTCTCTTCAACTACTGCACAACTACTAAATAATACAATTGTACAATTGTTTTACTGAGATTGGTAAACATATCAATGCATATGATTTTTTTTCTACAAGGGTAAAATGTTACATTCAGTATGTGTTTGTTTTAAGCTGGGCCACGATGAGGTTCAGTTTTACCTAACTGTACAATTTAAAATAAGATTCCTACCATAGACAGACGTCACTATTGAATGCCATTTAGTCACCGAAATATAGATGCCATTATTACGCCAGAACCCTCACAAGCAGCAGTTACAGATCAGTAGGTCATTATTACTGGAAAAAAAAACTCTCAGCATGACAGTAAATAGATATCTTAACATTCGATATGGCAGTTCTGTCGACTGTAGCAGTGTGAAATGTGTTCTTTGGTCATAAATGTATCCTACAATCTATGGACTGATCGGAGACAGTTTGTCCAAGGACTACTTGATGTAAAATGAACAATAAACTGATATTCTGAGGGACTGATCTGCTGCTCTTCTATCTGACAAATTATTTATTATAAACATTTTCTTTATCAATTAATTTCAAGTAATTTAAAGCTTTCCTTTGCAGTGAATAAAACAAGTTGAAAGGATTAATCTGAAGTGGGATCAGGGAAGTAGTACAGCATGTAAAACATACAAACGTAACTATAGAGAATTTGTAGTTATTCATCACAATTGAATGGAAAATTTCCCTTTTCGATTTAGTCCTTCCAAATTTTACTTTTGTTTTGCAAACTGTTACAGTCCTCCAGACCAAGGACTTGATCTTCAAAAGGTTTGTGTGTATTAAAACAAAGGAAGCCTTATTAACGTTTGCAAAAGTGATCTGCTTGAAAAGTAAAAAGGGAGCAACTTTTGTGGGTGTGTGCCTTCATGAGTATGTAAAACATATTCCAGTGACCACATCATGCAAATTTATGAGTAGAGTATAAGCAATGTAAATACTTACCATCCTCAAAGCACTTTTTTAATCTTCAAAAGTTTTTGTGGGTGCAGTTTTGATTCTATTTTCAGCACATTTGATAGTCAGGTGCCAACTGGACCCATACATTTCTGCCCCTACCAATGACTTTTAAATGTCAGAAATTACAATCCTAAAACTATGCCTGCTTAGGCTGGCGCACATTAACGTAGTGGAAGCAAACTATCTTTATGTAATTAAACAAAAATAAAAGAACAGCATGATTGTAGTAGTTTTGTTAAAAACCAAACCTGAGAACAGCCATCACAGCCTGTAAAAGGACAATAGGTTTTCTATCTGGGTTACCTTACAAACTCTGTATGAAGCTCATTTATGCTGAGTAAAATTATTATAGGCCAAAAATGCACTATTTGGGCAAAGATGGTGTTATGAGGACTTGGTGAAGGTAAATCCAGCTGTTTAAAGCTCTTTGTCAAAGGGGGTTGGAGAAAGAAATGTTCAAGATTTGTAATTGTTGAATGAGTTTCATTTTCATATTTGTTTTTCTTTACTTTTTGTTTGTAGTTTGAGGTACTTCAAATAACAGGCACCCTTATTATCCATGCCATTTTTTTTGCAGATCATTATAACTTTCAACTCCATTGTTAGAAATGTATCTTTCCACTATGGCCTGTTTCAAACTACCAGTAGCACATTTCTCATCCAATGTGGTGGAATGAGTCTACTTCCACATCTTTTTCACACACAATCCTTGCTGATCACCTGTAACACCCGCACCTAAAGGTAGAGTGGAGGATGTTCTTTTTCCAGGTGGATCATCAAAAGAAGTGATCCTCCTAATTGTCAATCCTTCTGGTCGTATGTTTACGTAAGGCTGTCCTACGTGCTCGTCCCCATTTTCAGTTACCGGTGGTGAGTCTGACATTGTGGAAAATTGCAAATTTTCTTTTGGAAAATAAGCTTTTATGAGAGATGCAAACAGGAACTTATAAACAGAGCGTGCACAAGGAGAAACGGGCATACGTGTTTAATAGGCTTTCCCTCTCAGGAGCAGGTAAAGGGTTGTGCATGTGCATTGTTTTTGTGTAGAGGGTGGATCTTTCAAAAAAATTAGCAACAATCCTCCACTATACCTTTAATATACAGTATGTGCATGCATTTTTTTTAAATCCACATTAATTGGCACCCCTAATTTGGATTCTTTGACATCAGGCCCTAATTCAGGTTTCAGATCTCACCCTAAAAATGAAGCCCATGCAGAAGTTGCTTTTGTTGTGTTTTATTTTATTTTTTTTTTTAAAGCTAGGCCAATCTTTACCTATGTCAAAACTTGTATATTTAAAATACCTTCATGAAAAGTTCTCCCTAAAAAGTAAAAAAATAAGTATGAGAATAAATCGTGTTTTGTACAGCGACATCTTGTGGCAAAAGGGGATTTCAGCAGTTCACCAATAACCCGGAATCAGTGCTAAATGAGGAAGATTAGGCAGAGAATGACAATTTAAATTTACTTAATGGAATGAGTGGCTTCTCCTAAGAAACCATTTTTTTTTTATTTCTACAGTACCCCAAGTCATTTATTGTACATTTAGTAGAGAAACAAGTAGAAGAGTTTCTTAAGTAGTTGGTACTAATTTTTCGTGCAATAACAGCAAGATTTCCACAGCTTCCATTTTGTTTAAGAGTAAAATGACAATTAAAATGACAGTTTTAATTAATTTAAACTTAGTGGTGGTTTTGTTTAATGATTTGCGTTTAATGATTTGCGTCTTTTACATTCATGTCTAAAAAATTCCACAAGACAAAAGAATTTATTATAGAAAGGGAAATTGGTCTGTGAACATGCTTATGCTTAAAACAAAAATTTAAATCACAGTTCTCTATAGTTACACTGATGAAAATGTATTCAATATTTTTACAGGTTCTTGAAGAAAACTTATTTTTTTATTTTTGGGAAATTGGGACATCTAGTGTTAGAAAAAATTATTAGATTTAAAATATTGGACCTAAGGATAAAAATATATATTTACTATGGTTTCCCAAACTTTTGTAAAAAATATAAACATTACAACAACTGAATTGACGGTAAACTTCTGATTTAATTGTGTAGCTTTTGAGGAGGTTCTGTCCACACCTGCTCCGAATTAACTGATTACTCCACTAGGGCTGGGCGGGGGGAACTTATTTATTTGTTATATTCATTTTGGTCACTTTTCTGGTCACTTTAGTTTATTCTTTGTCAGTATTTAATAACATAACCCAGGTCTCTTAAGTTATTTTTCTTTAAAACAATTCTGTTATGGTTAAAACAGTTGGTTAAATAAAGATTTAATTCAAAGTCTGTGTTTGTGTTCTTTATCAAAATTAAATCATTTAGCAAAATTCTAAAAAGTCCAGGCAGACCTGCACATAAAATATGGTTTCAAATCTTTTAAATAATTATCGATATCGATCAATATGCATTTTTTTTTTTATCGATAAGCTTTTTTTTCTATATCGCCCAGCCCTATACTCCACTCTTAGTTCTGGCTCCCATATTTATCCTCCTCTGCAGTTCATCAGTGCTAGTTTCTCTTAATTGCTTTGCTCCCTGTGTATTTTTTTCCCTGTCGTCTCCTGGTTTTTGGTTTCTTTATTTTGTTTCTGGATTTTTGCTTCTGTTACCATCAGAATTTAAGTTAAATCTGAAAGAGCTCATCTCTGCCTCCTGATCTCTGCAATTGGGTCCTTGACTAACCTCCACCGAACCTGACACATATATTTCACTTAGCATTCAGTCACTTAATATTCAAATCACAGGTATAATTACCCATGAATATTGGTATTCCCTTTCTTTTTTAATTTTTGAGGATGGAAATACACCAGTCTTGTTTCCCTGTAAAGATCCGGTTTCTATAAAACTACTACTGCCATTATAACCATTGCCATCACTAGGCAGTGGAATTGTTGAACAAATGACACTCGTGGCACATAAGCCCCTTCTCCAAAAACATCAGTAAACCACTCACAACCAAATGCGCACCATGTAATGGGTTACAAAAAAAATGTCTGATAGGGTTCTATGATTAAGTCCAAGTTTGACCAAATAGTACAATATAATGCTATAATCTTGCTTGTCTAAATCTGAAGGTGCTGATTAAAGGTCTCATAAAATGAAGGCATGCAATTTTAATCCAGTTAAAAGTAGTAGGACCTTTATCAGATTCAAGCCAGGTTTAGTTTTGAGTGACCCTCCTCAGCTTTGTGCAAAATTGTGGTGGAGAATTCTTAGTCCAGTATATGAATATTTGACTAGAGTAGTGGATGTAGTTTTGATTTTAGGCTGACCTATTGCAAAGTAAATGAGTTGATAAAAAAAATATCATAATAACATAGTTGAAAGCCAAAAGAATCTGATTCTGATCCAGGATGGATGACTTATGGAGGAAAAAACTCGAAGCATGGACACTCAACACAACTGCCGATGGGTGTAAAAAACTAGATGACGCAAATGAGAAAGCTACTGTTTTCTGCGAGAGAATCTGCACTGCGGGGCTGCACATTGGAACAGTGGATAGTGTTTATGACTTGCAGCAAGAAGAGCCCGGGGTCTTTCTTCATGCGGAGTTTGCATGTTCTCCCTGTGCATGCATGGGTTCTCTCCAGGTACTCCAGCTTCCTTCCACAGTCCAAAATCATGACTGTTTGGTTAATTGGCTTCTGTTAATGCTCCTTAGGTGTGAGTGTATGTGAATGGTTGTTTGTCCCATGTGTCTCTGTGTTGTCCAGCGATAGACTAGTGACTTGTCCAGGGTGGACCCCGCCTCTCACACATTTACAGCTGGAGATAGGCACCAGCAACCCTTGCGACCCCAGCAGAGATAAGCGTGACAGAAAATTGATGGATGAATGGATATTCTGTACTAAATGTTGCAGAAACATGAGGTGTTCCCTTGGAACAAATACTGAACATCTTCCTGCATGAGTATCGATCCACACCTTACATTGCAACTGTGAGTCCACCATTTGAGATACTGTTTCAATGCAAAATATATACAGAACTCCCTCTGTTCACTAACATAGCATGACAGTTTTCTGATGTTAAGGTAAGTACAAAGATGACAATGCAAAAGCCAAAATGAAAAGGATAGTTGTTGCCAAGCTTCATGCTGTTCCACATTTACTCTCATCATGTGACACTGTACTGCATCACTCTTCACATCTACTACCAAGTTACAAAAGCGAAGGGCTCTGCAGTCACAGTCACATGGGATTGACACTCTATTGACAGAAATGCACAGCTCTACAAGAAATTAACACCTGAGACCAGGGGGGGATGTTCAGTCCTTGATTGTATAGGGCAGATATCCGTCTTAGTCTTAGTGTATCTTAATACTTAACATATGCTTTTGTTCTAAGCTATGGAACAAGAAATGCTGTCAATGTTAGCTAAATATGTGTTCCTAAACTTGTATCATTGCAGTATTACCCCTGTTTAACTGATTGCATTTAACTTTTTCATTTAAAGCTAATATACGTGTTTATATAGTTCAAGTGTTGTTATATGGCCTGTCTAT